ACTTTTGGTTTATATCTACTGGACTTATATGTGCGCGCCGTTGCCGGCGAGCTTACGTCGCCGCGCCCGCGACTCGCGTCCCCAACCCTCGCCTGGCAATGACTACGTTTCCACCGAGGGTCAGAGTCGGGCTAGAGTAGGGTCAGAATCGGGCTGGGGTGAGCGTTTTTGCGGTGGAAACACCAAACCGGGTCAGAATCGGGTTGGGGTTTGGTGTTTCCACCGCAAAAACGCTCACCCCAACCCGATTCTGACCCGACTCTAGCCCGACTCTGACCCTCGGTGGAAACGTAGTCATCATCGATCGCCGTGCGGTCACATCTCGCCACGCGCTCGAATTGGACAGTGGGCAGGGCAAAGACGACGATTTTTGATAATTAATTACTCGTTAACTATTGCGAAAATTGCAAATGGTTCAGGACTTTTCTGTTCATCTCGATCCGTTCTACCTTCTCACGAGCTCTGGCACAAATGTTGTGACTACCCTGTATATTGACTTAAATAAACAACTTTTTGCATAAAACTTTTTTTGTCCGGATTCTCACGGCGTACCCTATATGCTTATCTTACTAATAAAAATTTCCATACAATCTACAAGTCACGATTGACGTAATTTATGAATTTATGTGTAACTCAAATGGAAAATTTTAATAATAACGTTATCTATATAAATACTTCACAATGCATATTAATGGTAATTTAACACTCTCAACGAATAACTCATTATTGTAGAAATAATTGATGAGACAGTATAGTCTTCGCTGGAAAATGTAAATTTAGTGTACAACTGATGGCAATGTTGCCAAAGTTATTTGCATAAATATCTGTTATGTAATTAAACTACATTGCATAAATCAACTTGTTATGTTAATCGCGCGGAATACTGCGTAAATAAGTGTTAAAGGTGAAGTAAAAATTTGTATAATATTTCTGATCCTTTTAACACATGAATTAACCATGCAGTATATATGTACATATACATATATACTCAGTGAGAAATTCGTTGATCAATGTCAAAACGATGTCGAATCGACATTGACGCCCTTAAATTGATGTCAAATCGACATCGATTTGACGGTGTTGACGTCGGTTCGACATCATTTCGACATCGTTTCAACTTTAACCGACGAGTTATTCCTGGATATGTAAAACAACACATTTACGACTGAATCATTCTGCAAATAATTACGTAAGTATTATATATACCATATTTTGTGTGCTTGAGTGTAAGTGCAATGTATACACGTACGTGCAGACACATATTTATTAGTGCGTCACTAAAGACAGAGAGGGAAAAATAGAGGGAGCTCAGATGCTGAACCATAAATGATTTGCTCGTAAAGAAATATCCATTTAGTACTTGCAACTGCTAGAAGTTACTATCGTACGATACGTTTGTGAATTTTGTATTTCATCGAACAGTGTGACCATGAATTTAACACTAATCGAATTTGTTAAATATTAATTTAAATACTAATATATAGATTCCAATTTATAAAGGTAATTACGTGTTTACAAATAATACGTCTTTAATTAATGCATGGTTAAATATAAAAGAAATGTTTTTATAGGGGTATACAATGGCACTCATAACGGCTTACTGGGGACTAGATGGCATAATATTTCTGACGACTCTAATTATAGCTGCATATCTATACATGACACGCAAATTTAACCACTGGAAGAAACGAGGCGTTTTAGAAGCGCTTCCGCCGACACCATTCTTGGGCAATTTCACAGACTGTCTACTCCTAAAGAAATCACCTGGAAATTTTCTGCAGGAACTTTATATTCAAGGAAAGGGATCTCCCTACATCGGCTTTTACATATGTGACAAACCGGCTCTGTTAGTTCGCGATCGGGAGCTCGTTAAAAATATTTTAATAAAGGACTTCAATTACTTCACTGACCGATACGCCGCAGCTGATACAATAAATGATCGCCTGGGTGCCACCAATCTCTTTTTCCTCAAGAATCCAGCCTGGAAAACCTTAAGAACGAAATTGACACCATTCTTCACGTCCGGCAAGATGAAGAAAATATTCGAACTAATGCTGAAATGTGGAAACGATCTAGATACGTATCTCGAATCGCTGAAATTGGGAGGTAAGTACTGAGTTTATGAAGTTAATTACGTATCATCAAAAGGGACAAAAAGTAAAAAGGCCATTACGACTAAATAATGGAAACAATAATAAGGGTATGATTGATGGTAGATCAAGGAAAGGAAATGGACATAAAGGAGTTAACCGCTAAATTCACTACCGACATAATCGGCACTGCTGCCTATGGACTTAACGTGAATTCGTTGAATAATCCAGACGCCGAGTTTCGAAGACATGGCAAATTAATTTTTTATTTCAACTTTATTCGCGCTTTGGAGTTCTTGGCAATGTTTTTCCTTCCAAATATAATTAGTATAACCGGTATAAAAACATTTGGTAAGGAGAGCTCTAACTTCCTACGTAAAGTCTTTTGGGAGACGATCACGCAACGCATAAAGTCTGGCGAAAAGAGGAACGATCTCATTGATATCCTTATTGAACTGAGAAACACTTACGGAGATCAGGACATTGAAGGATTTAGTAAGCATAGAATTTATGAAGCTAATGCATAAACTTTATAATTTACATTTAGAAAACGAAAACGCCCACGGAATCTAAGCTATAATTCCAATAGTTAAAATTAGGGTAAAAGTGCAGAATAGGGGACCCAGCTCCTACGACCTTGACCTTCAAGGTCAAGGTCAAGGTCACCCTCCTGAGTGACCCTCAGAAGGTTTTAGCCGTCGCTCGTTGTTCGTTAAAAAGTTATTAACAAAAAATATTTAACGATGGTTTTTAATATTTAAGTTGCAAGTGCGTTTAGCACGGCGCGCTGCGCGCGCCCCACCCCCGCCCCACCCCCTTCCCCTCTCCCACCCCACCACGCAACCCATGTTGTGTCGCTACAATTCGTCGGTATGACAGAAGGTGGTAAGTTGCTATCGGACACAGATTCTATCGTACACAGTCCCGATCAGACACAGGCCCGATCGGACACAGTCCCGATCGGACACAGGCTCCATCGGACACAGGCCCGATCGGACACAGGCCCGATCGGACACTCTAGATGGGTTTTCAAGTGTTTATAACATGAAATTTAAGGCAAATTGTGACTCTAGATGGGTCGGCATATTTATATACATTTAACCCGGGTTAACTGTTCTGTAAAGCAGATAATTGTCCATCATTTGTAAGTCCATACGCACACAAGAATATTGTGCTTTACAGAAATACGCAAACCCGATACAAAATGTTTCCGATCGGGCCTGTGTCCGATCGAGTCCGTGTCCGATCGTATTGATACATTTTTTAATATCATGAGTACCATATATCCACTAGATACATTAAATGTTGAATAAAATTCTTTATTATATACAACATAACGTAATCCTACCTCCATTTCTAACTTTTTTCCATATAGATAAGATGGTAGGTTGTAAATACGGGTGGGGTGGGGAGGGGCGGGATAGGGAGGGGCGGGGCGGGGAGGGGGAGGAGGGAGAGCGCGCGCAG